AGCCATCTCTGGTCAGGAAAAGTGTGGTCTTATCCGTGTCCTGAGGCCATCGACAGATTTGGTTGTTAAAGTGCTATAATTTTACGCCATCCAGACAGGAAACTGTCTTCACACAATGTTGCACCTAACTGGATACCCCTAGAAATAACAGCGCATCAAGAATGCACCAATAATCCATGAATCGAGCCCAATATTCACAATCACGAATGGGTCAGTAACACAGATCTTTCGTTCACGGAAATTGCTTTTCTGTGCGACCTTCTAAGTACTCATTGTGCCTTCGAACAGCCTTCATGATATTTTTATGCGATGGAGCAACTGTCCATAATAAGACATACCCCGTCCCAATCCTTCACTGAACAGTTATCCAGGGATATCTAAAATATGTTTGGTGGTTTCAAAACGGATTCTACTATTTCAGAGGGCCTACTAAAATGGTCCGACTAAATAGCATGTACGCACTTTACCGCTTGCGGAATACTCCCATCGGTCTACGTCGAACATATCATCATCAATGATACGGTCCTAGGGCATTAAAGCATGGACCTTCGTTTTCAATAAAGTTTCCACGTTCCTGCACACCAGAAGAGGGAATGGACTCACGGACATCCATCCTCATGTTGCGTACGCCTTATAAGGCATAAAAATGTCTTTCTCGAAGCTGCATTAGCTGGCACTGATAGACTGCCGCACGGCCTCACTTTTCTCACTTTCCTCCAAAAAGGCGCATATCAAGCACACTGTTGAATTCGATGGACTATTGAAACACCGTCGCAGCCCTCAACTAATACGTTGGTGAGTCATTTGCTGGACCCCGAATTCCGTAAAACTCGCTGATTTTCCGCCTCAACTGAAGTTCAACGGGTATGAATAAATTCGGGGGGTTCTAGTTGGTTGCACAGCATGCTGGGTAACGCAGCGAACAATGTTTATCTCCGTGAACTAGAATCAAGTGACCGACGACTCCAAATTATCACGTAACTTATGTACATATTAATAAGCTTTAGGGATTTAACTCTGTAAACCGCCGTGGGCTAGACGCACGCCGAAAATTTCTCTGAAACTGCGGTTCGAAGGCGGAAATCTTCAACATAAAGTTTTAACATTTGATGGCAATTTTTCGGGCGTATGAGATCTCCCCAAATGGCCGCAGTTTTGTTGAAAGTTGTTTAAATCTACTCAATGCACACGATATTCAAGACCCGGGATATTCATATTTTAAATGGTTGCTATGCCTGAGCACGTGAATGCGGAGGATGGTTTTGTGGAGAACTTAGCTCGTCAAATTTCTTCTCGTTCAGTGCATTTCAGGTCGCTTTGAAAAAGTACCAGACAAAACATTCCGTTGTTTTCGTCCCTATAGACTCCAAAAAGAGCAGCAATTCGCTACTTTTGTATGAAAAAGCCTCCTACCGTTGCAGCAGACATCCTTGCAAACGAAGCAGAAGCCGTGGAATTTGTCGCACCAAGTAAGTTAATGGTTGACTGTGTATACGTTGTAGCACACGTCGTACTGATTGTCCGGCAAGGTTCCACGTTCGCCGGTACCATGAC